CTTTGAATGCTAGTACCATGGTCGGTATAGCAGAACAAGATGAGAGACTACATTTAAGGGCTAGTTTGTGAATATTATATTTACAGAATAACGGTAAATTTCGGAAAACTACTCTCTTCTAAATCTTTTGGGGTAATGTTTGTATAACTTTAGTATAAATATATGTAAATTTCAATATGTGTGTTTTTTCTGACCTTATGTGAACGAAAAGACTCAAAGTCGCCCGTTTTCACACTTGAAATAGGCGGGCATCAGAATATGACTACTTCTGTCCTAGTCACAAAAGCAAAGTTTGAATGGAATGATAATTTTTTGTATACTATTTAAGCATAAGTAATTAGGAAATAACACTACCCAGGAACAAAATATTTTACATATACATAGAAATATAGACACGTAAATACATTCATAAATATGCATGTATGTATGTATGTATGTATGTATGTATGTATGTATGTATGTATGTATGTATGTATGTATGTATGTATGTATGTATGTATGTATGTATGTATGTTAACTTTCAGTTTGAATGAATATATACCACATGGGTCGGTGACTTGAGGAATTGTTTGCATTAATTAACCTGAGGGCCGCCTTAATCCTCTGTAGTCTCCTCAGCGGGGACAGGAAACCGTTAGCTTGTCGAAGGACCCACCATTGTTACTGAGAACTATATCTAAGTCTAATTTATTGCTCTAAAATATATTTTAATGCGTATATTTGTTTCCCCCAAATCAATCACATTTGTGAATGGGACAGGGTCGCCACATTCGCATCTGGTGTACCGACAACATCTTGGCTGCCGTCAAAGGTGAAGTTGCAAGTTGTTAATTTGTTTCTTGCTTCACGTATTTACAACCTCTCACGTCTGTGGCTGGCCCAGCTGGCCGCATCCGTGTATCTTTATGAGCTTCCAGAGGCGTGCTGTTTTGTTAGCATCGCTCAGGGAGCAAGATTCCTGACGACTTGCAGAGGTTGTTGCACCATCGCAGGTTGTAAAGTGCGAGGAGGCTGACGCAACTTGGCTGTCCAGGGCGGCTGGGTTTCGTCACCGTGTGGGACGAGCTTGGAAATACACCCGCCTCTCTCCCCCAGTCTACCTGCCCGACTTTCACCCCAAGTCCTTCATTTGTCAGTAACACAAACATTTACAAGCCGTGAGGATGTGTTGAGGTGGGAATCGGAGAAACGATACTGGCCTAGAAGGATTGTCTGTTATTCACGTGTTCTCCTCGCGGTAAACATTACGAGCCAGAGAGGAGGAAAGGGTATGCATCTTTGACTCGTGCTTCAAACACGTAGAGCGTTGTCCTTAAGACCACATTTCATCTGGAAGCCAATACTCATCCGACCTGGCCATTACCATATCCAAATAGACCTTTAAGACTCCATTCGAACTCGCCAAAACCACACCCAACTAAGTTAAGACCACACCCGACCTGGATAAGACCCACGCCCGACCTGGTCAACACCTCACCCGAACTACTCTAAACCACACCCGACCTGGTCAACGCCACACCTAACTAGGTCAAGATCCCACCCGAACTGCTCTAAATCAACCTGTCCTCTTAAAAAGAACGTCGCTTTTGGCCGTTTGCCCGTATGGCCGAATTTGGACGTAATTTGAAAATGAAAAAAAAATGAAAATAAATTTGGGATTTTTTTCCAACAACAGTAAGTTAAGGGTCCTCTGATAGATTAGGTGGGCAGGAAATTCTCATAAAGTTTCAAAACGTTATGAAAAACGTTAATTTAAAGTTTCCCGACCTGGTAAACACCACACCCGACCTGGTCAACCCCACATCCAACCTGGTCAACCCCACACCTGACCGGGTTAAAAACTACAACCGACCAGGTCAACACTACACCCGACCAGGTCAAGATCACATCCGAACTGGTCTAAACCACACCCGAACTAGACATCACGACCGCACCCGCCGACCTGTTGATCAAGTTCGCACTGACGGGAAAACTTTAGACTTAGTAGATATATGTAATTAAATTTAAAAGTTTGTAAAAATATAACATTTGTCATATATAATAATTTTTTCCTCTTAAAAAACTGATCACGAAATAAAAACGGAAAATATATATTTTGTTGGTTGGCGTTGAGTTCGAAGATTAAATTATCGGTGTCTTGCCTTCTCGGCCTAGCAATCAGTAGTGTGGGACTGGCCAAGAGTTTGTCAACATAACATCACGGTGCCACAGGAATCAGTTAATCTAATCGCATAACCAAGAAAATATAAATATTTAGTAATTAACACATATTGTTTGTGTACTCACCTAATTGTGCTTGCGGGGGTTGAGCTCTGACTCTTTGGTCCCGCCACTCAACTGTCAGTCATCTGGTGCACAGGTTCCTGAGCCTACTGGGCTCTATCATATCTACACTTGTAACTGTGTATGGAGTCAGCCTCCACCACATCACTGCCTAATGCATTCCATCCGTTAACTACTCTGACACTGTAAAGTTCTTTCTAACGTCCCTGTGGTTCATTTGGGTACTCAGTCTCCAACCTGTGTCCCCTTGATCGCGTATCACCCGTGTTAAAAAGTTTATCTTTATCTACCCTGTCAATTCCTCTGAGAATTTTGTAGGTAGTGATCATGTCTCCTCTTACTCTTCTGTCTTCCAGTGTCGTGAGGTGCATTTCACGTAGCCTTTCCTCGTAACTCATGCCTCTTAGTCGTCCCCTTGTGTGTGTGTGTGTGTGTGTGTGTGTGTGTGTGTGTGTGTGTGTGTGTGTGTGTGTGTGTGTGTGTGTGTGTGTGTGTGTGTGTGTGTGTGTGTGTGTGTGTGTGTGTGTGTGGGTGTGGGTGTGTGTGTGTGTGTGCCTGCAGAATCGAGTCTGTAGCTCTTGGACCCCGCATTTATAGCCAATTTATATTTCCTCTATTATGTCTACATTTATTTCTCTAACACGCTCGCGCACACACACGTCCCTATGAAGCAACCCGTAGCAGCTCTCCAACTCCCAGGTACCTATTTACTGCTAGGTGAACAGGGCACTAGGATGTAAGAAACTCTGCCTATTTGTTTTCGCCTCCGCCGGGAATCGAACCCGCGCCCTGAGGACTACGACCCCCGAGCGCTGTCCATTCCGCCGCAATAATTAAATAGAACTAAAATGAAACTATTTGCATAGAAAATAACAAAAATGCAAATGTATGGATCTAGCATGGAGTGAAACCGTGAGATTTTTCTGATCATGTTGTGTCACAGTTAATGGCCAACATGACATGTAATTGACTCTCCAGCTTGGACATACACCCCGCATTTCGGTATGCAGGCATCATAATGGCTTGTTGACAAGCACTAAGACAACCTGGAGCGTCAATTATAAGTCATGTTGGCCACTAACTGTGACACAACATGATCAGAAAAATCTCACGGTTTCACTCCACGCCAGACCCATACAGTTGTATTTTTGCTATTTTCTGTGCAAATTAGTCCCACTTTATTTCTCATATATTTAATTATAACAGGATTAGTCATGGAGGAAGTGTGGTCATAGCAGAGTCTTTAGCATAGGCTGACTAATCATGACACAAGATGAGTAATCATGTCACATGATTTCTTCAAATCATCAAATTTATTACATATGATCTATGAAGATCGTATAGAACAGTAGTCTACGGTTCATAAACAAGGCTCCCGGGTTCGAATCACAAGGACAGAGATGGTTGGACACGTTCCTTTCACCTGACGCACCTGTTCACCTAGCAGTAAACAGGTACCTAGGAGTTTCGCAACTGCTGTGTTTTGCATCCTGGTTAAGGTTAGTAGTTGGCCTAAGCCTTTGGGAGACCTAGATATGCATAAGTACAGGCTTGCTGTTCCCATCAACGGATAACTATTATAAAAACTAGTAAAAATTAAACTTGCTATAACTGGTAATTTTTAAGATTAAAAGAGAAAATAAATTTAATACTACCACAAAGCCATTCATATTTTGTTGCAGTTGTCCGGACAACTTTGAAATATAACCTGCCGTGCTGCCCCAGCCCAAAGGTCAAGCTAGATTTGGCCCACAGTTTGTCAATTAACCATTAAGACATCTCAGAATACACAAAGCATATATCGCAAAGCTGAGCATATAACAGATTCTAGACCAGCAAGCTGTCTGGTGGACTTAAACTGAAGATAATGTGGTAGAATTGCGAATATGTGTGCCAGTGTGTAATCATTATAGGTTGTGGGATCGTCTGTACTAATAAGCGATAACCAGAAGCATATCTAAGTAGTATAAAACACGTTAAAGTTTTAATGTTCAGTAACAAACGGTATTGTAGAAAGAACAACACATTTTTTGTTTAATGACTCTTTCCCTAATAAGTATATCAAAATAAAATATACCTACGTGTGGTTTGTGATATAAAACAAATTATCGTTATTCATTAACATAACGTGAATCATCTGTGACAAAATAATGGTCCAGCCCTAGAACTATGATGTGGCCACGGAAAATTCCTGCCAGTTAAAAAATGATGCGAAAGTTTGTGTCAGTGCTCTAACACTATGATTTTATGAACTCTAAAAAATATATCACCACAGATGATTTTCTATAACATACTAATAGATGTTTGTGGTAGGCTGTCATGGAAATGGTGCATTTCCATAATAATAATAATAATAATAATAATAATGTTACATGATCTATTATTCTGCTAGGTACATACACGTAATTATCGCTCCATATAACACACAAAATTCGAATTGCATCTGTCAATAAAAACGGTTTTCGAAACCAATGTCAATTACTATTTTGATGCAGTCTTAATTTTGACTAATATTCAGGAAAGGATACATTTGCATAGTTTAACGAAACGACTTTTTCCCAAGAACTGCTAAGTTCATCGGATAACTGCTGAGTTCACGACCTTGAATGCATTCAGGTCTCGATAGGAGCTACAAGGCAAAAAGCTGACCAACATAAACACAGCTGGCAACTCAGTATGAGTCTAAGACGGTATATATATATACATGGGGTGGAGACCTTTACCAGTCACTTGGCTCTCTCTAGCTATACCCACCAGTCATGAAACTCGTAAGTACTGCGTCCGTAATTGTGCTGCCATGGTAGTGCACCCATGGTAGTGCTGCCATGGAAGTAGTGCACCCATGGTAATGCTGACATGGTGGTAGTGCACCATGGTAACAAAATACACGGTAATCCCTGAATAAAGATTGTAATGCAGGCCCATATTTTTGAAAATAAATTCATGTACTTAGCGCGAGCACTCACTGCAGGATCTAAATTTGAGCTTCCTGTCTTGTATATTCCTGTGGCATGGGAATATAGACGAGTTTATGTCCTTCTTGATCTATCTTCCTTCTTAATAGTATAGTTATCTTAAAAACATATTTTTTTTTGCATCGTGAATCAAACAGGGATGAACTGCTATCAGTTTTGCTTTTACTACATTCCCGATTTCAAAACTATATCAGAATTTATACAACTGACGAAAATAATATTTTGAATTGAAGTTTATTTTAAGATTTTTTTAATTATTTTATACTTTCAAATGTTCTAATAAGACTGGTAAGAATGACTGAAATTTAACGTAATTACATTCTTCGGTTAATGAATCACCTAACACACACACGGTTGATGCACAGATTGTTCTCGCCGTTTTGGCCACCGTGGCCGCCGCCGCCCCCCAGTACGCCGCCCCTCAGGCTCCTACCCGCTACGGTGATGACTCTGACGAGGTGGTGCCCATCCTGAAGGACGACCGTGTCCAAGAGGAGGACGGCAGGTACAGCCTGGGCGTGGAGACTGGCAACGGCATCGTATTGTCGCAGGTTGGCTCTCCCAGTGGTCCCGATGGCTCTGTGGTCAAGTCTGGACAATATTCGTGAGTATTACATTTCATGGGAAGGCTTTCATATTATTTATTGATATTGTAGTATACAGTAATTCGAAAGGCTCATGCTGTATGTAGTCATTTTGGAACAAAAATTTCCCCACAGCTACACTGCTCCTGACGGCACTCCCGTCGTTGTGAAGTTCGTCGCCGACGAGAACGGCTACCAGCCCCAGTCTGACCTGCTGCCAGTGGCTCCTGAGTTCCCCCACCCAATCCCCCAGTTCGTGCTGGACCAGATCGCCTTCGCCGCTGAAGAAGACGCTGCCGCCGCCCGCGGCAAGTCCTCTGGTCCCTCCGCCAGCTACGGTGTTCCACAGTAAACTATCTCGACCAGCAACACCACCCTTTACACCATGAAAACATTACGTACCGAAGAAATACTCGTGAGTTAGCACTGAATGTGCTCACCCAGAATTTAGGGGTTCAAATATTGTATACAGTATTTATTGTTTTGCTTTTGTATATATATAATAAAATATAAATAAATCCTAATTTTCATTATCTCCATGACAAATTATAATTTCTATATTGGAAATTAAGAAAAATTACTGTTATTAAGTTTTTTTTTATTCTTATTCTTCTTTTTACATCTATTATTATTTTGGCATTTATTAAAAATGCCATATAATTTTATTTGATAAAATACGGCATTTTGACTTAAAAATTATGAGAGGTGTTGAAAAGATAAAATAATCAGATTAATACATTTAACACTAGGTGATAAAAAAAATTACAATACAAAAATATTGTGCTACTTTTCTCTGATACTAACAACCAATATTTTTGTATAAACTAAACAATCAAGACAAAGATGGACATAAAACATACTGAAAGATAGCTTGAGAAGTACTTAAATCAGAATATTAACAAGATTCCCATCTCTCTGGGTTTGTGAGCCTCAAAATAAATCCCCCCAAATACATATGTATATATATATATATATATATATATATATATATATATATATATATATATATATATATATATATATATATATATATATATATATATATATATATATATATATAAACACCTACGTTGACTTCAGTGCTACACAAGCTGGAGGTGCTGCCAATCACCGGGAAGCAGCCAAGTCACGTAAATACAGAGACCTTCAGCACCACTACAATTTTGTCCCCATTGCCTCAGAGACACTTGGTGCCTGGGGTAAAAGTGCTGCTAGCTTTTTAAGTAGTTGGGGTCCAAGCTAATTGAAACAACTAGAGACCCTAGAGCCGCCAGTTTTCTCTTTCAGCGCCTTAGTGTGGCGATCCAGAGAGGAAATGCTCACTGCATCCATGGTTCCTGCCCGCCATCTGAGGAGCTATACAATTTGTGACAAGTAGCCTTGTACCCTGCATCTAACCAATGTTGTAACTTTTTTGTGTAATGACATTTTCAAATAAAGTTAGATATATATACACACATACGAAAAGAATAGGGGCGGTAGGAGAAGAATATATCAAAGTGTTCTTTGAGGATCCACAAGGTCTTCTCTGAGTACTCTTTATTTTCTTCTCCGAGACTATGGGTCCCCTACACTTGCACCAGAGGTGGTACCCTTCTAGGTTTATATATATATATATATATATATATATATATATATATATATATATATATATATATATATATATATATATATATATATATATATATATATATATATATATGCAGATATTGAAGGCTTGAAAGTTCTTGTCTTTGTGTCGATGATTAAGGTACTAAGTGAGCTTGTTTTGCTGTGTTCCAATATGTGTACACAAAGCACATATATCACTAAAATATAATATGCCATCCTGTTGAGCTCTCTTCTCTTGCAACACACTATACTTAAGTCCATCCTCTCACGAGATGAAAGTGAGAGAATAACGCTCATACGCAAGAACCGGTTTCAGTTGAAGGAACTGCAGCCTAGGTATTATGACCCCGTACTGTGAGGATGTCTGAAGCCTCACTTGTCCCGTCGTGATGCTGAGGTGTGTTCAGTGTCAATTTACACGAAGCTCTTGATATTTCATCCCTCTATTGCACACAGAAATGACGTGAGTGGTGATGAGAAATGTGTGTAGGCCATTTTGTTTCCCCGTAATGCAAGGAACGACTGTCTGGAAACAAAACCGGCGCTAAAACTGGTTATGAAGGAATACTTCGCCTAAAGTATAACTGGCAACTACCTGCCACGTCGTCTGCCCTATAAATAGGAACGCCCCTGTTGATCCAGGTATCAACTCCCTCTAGTCTCAGTCAACATGCCTTTTGAAAGTATATGAGGTATATCGTACATAAAGTCAGGTGGAGAATACAAAGGAATAGTTTAATATAGCATTGCTAATGATACCAAAGCTCTCAGGCAGAAGCATAACAAGAGGAAGGAGTTATTCCCAAATGCTACAGAAAATCTTCTTAGCTTACATCTGTAGGAGCCTGACAGCTGAGTGGACAGCGCTTCGGATTCGTAGTCCTGAGGTTCCTAGTTCGATCATCGGTGGAGGCGGAAACAAATGGGCAGAGTTTCTTTTATCCTGATACACCTGTTCACCTAGCAGTAAATAGGTACCTGGGAGTTAGTCCGCTGCAATGGGCTGCTTTTTGGGGATGTGTAACAAATAGGACCGGGCCGCGGGGACGCTAAGACTCGAAATCATCTCAAAATAACTTTACTTACATTTTGATACGCTGAATTACTATAACTAGAATAATATTCACGACGACCAAATTTAAGGCAAACTAATTGTGACGTGTTCAATATCTAATTGAACAGGTTGTTCTTGCCGTGTTGGCCACCGTGGTTGCCACCGCCCCACAGGAGTACGCCACCCCCTAGACTCTTACTCAATATGGTGATGATTCTAGAGAGGAGGTGCCCATCCTGAGGGACGACCGTGTCCACGAGGACGACGGCAGGTACAATCTTGATGTGGAAACTGGCAACGGCATCGTTTTCTCTCAGTTCGGCGCCCCCAGTGGCTCCGAGGGCGCTGTCGTTAAGGCTGGACAGTATTCGTGAGTAGACTTTCATATTCCATGAGAAATCACGTTCTCTGTATGAAATTTTTTATAAGGAATTTAAGTGAGCATCACGTGGTCTCTATTGTAAATTAAATGAACATTATTTTCACCAGCTATACTGCTCCTGAAGGCACTACCGTCGTTGTGAAGTACATCGCCGACGAGAACGGCTACCAACCCCAGTCTGACCTGCTGCCAGTGGCTCCTGAGTTCCCCCACCCAATCCCCCAGTTCGTGCTGGACCAGATCGCCTTCGCTGCAGAGGAAGACGCTGCCGCCGCTCGCGGCAAGTCTATCGCTCCCTCCGGCAGCAACAGTGCTCCACAGTAAAATAATCCCACAACAATATCAGCGACATGACATTAACATAGCATTTGTTTTATGTTCAATTCTATTTTCGTGTGATTTTTTAAACACAACTATCGTGTTTTTAATATTATATGTTTATTATTATTCTATATAACATAAAAACAACTATACCTGTAATACAAAATAATAAGCCATGATTTTTTCTGGGGATTCACAGACATCTGACACTTCGACTCGGTTAACCGAAAAAGTTATGTATTTATGTTGCTAATAAAACCTAACCAAACCATCCTAGTTCTAATATATGATATCTGTGTCCTAATATATTATATAATATATATATGTGCTATGTTAGGCCTAGAAGTATTTAAGTTTGTATTTTAAGGTTATTTTTTCGAACTATATAAAATGAATAGCACCATTTGCCTCTGAGTGTGTGTGTGTCCCCACTCATTATGTATAACGTGTATCACTATGAATACTGTGTCAGTATGTATACTGTGTCAGTATGTATACTATGTCTTTATGTATTACGTGTCAGTATGTATCACATGTGCCAGCTTGTATGACGTGTGTAAGGTTGTATGAGGTGGGCCAGTATGTATCACGTGTACCAGCATGTATTACCTGTCAGTATGTATCATGTATCATTACACACCACATGTCATTATGGGGCACGTGTTGGAGTGTGTTGTGTCAATATTTTTCATATGGATCAATATGTGTCACGTGTGCCAGTATTTTCTGTCAGTGTGCATCATTTGTCACTATGAATCACATGTTGGTATGTTTGTGTCACGTGACATAAGGTATCACGTTTCAGTATGTATCCCGTTTGTCAGTATGAATCATGTGTCAGTGTATATATCACGTGAATAAGTATTGATTAGGGTTATAAGAATGTATCACATGTGCCAGTATGTATCACGTGTTAACAGTATGCACCACGTGTCAGTATGTCTCACCTGTCAGTATGTATCACCTGTCAGTATGTCTCACCTGTCAGTATGTCTCACCTGTCAGTATGTCTCACCTGTCAGTATGTCTCACCTGTCAGTATGTATCACCTGTCAGTATGTATCACCTGTCAGTATGTCTCACCTGTCAGTATGTCTCACTTGTCAGTATGTCTCACCTGTCAACATCTACCTCGTGTCAGTGTTCATCAGCATCACGTTTGTCATTATGTATCACGTGTCGGTATGTATCACATGTGTTCTTTTTCTGTTCCTGTTTCTGTATGTCTTTATATCCAGCTTTCTCTCGCTGTTTGTCTGCCTCTCTCTCTCAGTTTATATGTCTGCCTGTCTATTGCTCTGTTTGAGATTGTATCTGTCTATCGATATTTGTCTCTCTTGTCGGTCACTGCGCGTCCCGTCTTTCTGTTCTGTTATATGTGCTTGAAGCAATATAGATTCTCAATTGCCTGCGTCAAATTCAGCCTTCACTGAGCTGTATCACACATATTACAGCTCCAGGAAGCATTTCCTGTACCCGAGCTGACCTTTCACCGCCTTACTCAACATCAGAGAAACAAGTTTTTTTTGTTTCTCTCTCTCAAGCTGCTCATCTTCAGTACGTTATACCAATTGCTGTTATTATAATTTATTATTATATTCACATATCACTTGTGTTACCTATGGTGGCTGCATGCCAGGACTGACCTCCCGGTTATATTGTTATCTATATCAGTGTGAGTCGTGTCTCCACTCCTACATTTATAGTTTTATTAATTATGTAATATTTATACTTGTTTTTGTCATTTATTATTATTATTATTATTATTATTATTATTATTATTATTATTATTATTATTATTATTATTATTATTATTATTATTATTATTATTATTATTATTATGGAGAAAATCAGTAGGAGCCGTGACGAGGATTCGAACCTATGCACTGGGTACTGTGAAGCTAACGCCTTAGACGATTATAGGTCTTAGACGACTTACTCAAAGTACTGTATATAATGTTCGGAACATTGTATAATACAGTATCTTAACGATAATGTGATAAAATTGATATAAAAAAACTTGTAGTGAAGCAACTACAGTATCGAGCCCAACTGGCACCTGTGACCACACGCCGCCTGTGAATGATCTCTCTCCTCAGGAGTCTGGCACCAGTTGCATCAAGCATCATTCAGTAAGTCTGCTGCTCATT